CCCAGCCCAGCTCGGGGGCTGCACTGTGTCGCAGGGGTGGGGTGGGGCGGAGGGCACCCGGGGACCCCCCTCTCGCATGTCGCAGACCTTCAGGGTCCCAGCGGCGCCGGGTGCAGCCCCCATCTCCCGCCCTGCCTGCCTTGTCCTGCAGCAACGCGTTTGGGGCCGTTTTCATCATTGCAGAGGGCTTCAGTCACCCAGCGTGGGTTGGTGGGGAACACGGCGGTGCCGGTGGCATGCCCCTGCCTGGTGCAGGACAGGGACATTGTGGTGCTGAGCTTACATGTGATGGGGGTGTTTCTATGGTTCGAGACATGTGGGGAACAGGTCTGAGGCAGGCACACTCAAGCCTTGCTCCAGAGCTGAGGCTGGTGGGAGATGTGCCTCTGCGGGAGCTTGGTGAGGATGACAGCACGTCTAGCGCCTGCTTGGAGCAGGGTGAGGGTTATTCCAGAGGCTCTGTGTGTGTGTAGGGCCAGGCCACCCCCACCTCTTCCCCTGCTGACCCTCTCTGTCACACTGCCCGTATAGGGGGCTCCCCCGTGCAGACTTGTTCCCATGTGCGCTGCCTGTCCCATGGCAGGCAGGGCTGTCAGCGCAGCCACACCAGCCCTCCGCCCCGCTGGATCAGGAAGAGCCCACGAGCAGGGAGGGAGAGTGCCAGGCACTGCCTGCGACTGGGGAGAGCCAAGCCAGGTGCTGGCAGCATTGTAGGGCGCGGCGGGGAGCAGAGATGCACCGTCATTGCCTGCGGCTGGAGGAGAGCCGGCAGGAGCCACAAGGCTGGCAGGTGTCTGTGCACGTTGCCAGCTGCTGTACTGGCTCCTGTCATGAGGCCCGTCACAGCAGGTTTGGGATGAGTACACTGCAAACCCTAGAGGAGCAGTGTGTTTCCCTCCTGTGATAGCCCATGTCTGCATCCGACAGCTGACAGGACCCTCCTGGCCTCCCTCCCTGCTCTTGGCCCTGTTTTTTTCCTTCCTGGGGCAATTTTGCAGCACTGGCTGCAGAAACGTCAAAGCAGGAGGAGCCCACTTGCCCCAGCAGCTCTGGGCAGGAAGGCTTTTGCAGCCCCTTTCTTGCAGTTGAGAGCCAGCACTGAAAGCTGTTTCAGATTTGCGAGTCACCAGCTCCAGCACCTCTTCCCTGGTCTCCACATGCCTTTGTGAGTGGAAAGTCCCCATCACATGACGATGCCATCTGGTCACCTCCCAGCATCAGGGTGTCTACAGCAGGCAGGGAAAGACTAGGAGAGGCTTAAGCAGCAAGGATGCTCACACACACTGGCCAGGCACAGCAAGCAGACCTGTACTTTAATGTGGCCAGCAGGCAGGGCCTGCGAGCATCAGGCTTCATTGCAGAACGAGTGCAGTTCTTTGACGCGAGTGGGTCTGCACAGCACATCCAGCCAGGGTGGGCTCATGGCCATCTCTTACTAACCCCTTCCATCCTTGAAAGGAGCCCTGGGGTGGTGGAAGGGCTTCCGCAAGCCCTTCAACATGTATTGCCATGGGATGTCTGAAATTTCAAACCATTTCTCACAGCCAGGACCTGTGGAGAGGGACCATGCTTTGGCACTGGCTTCTTAAACTTATCCTGCTATAGCAGGAGCTGGTTGCTTGAAATCAGTAGATTCAGACCAAAAATAACATGGTTATTTTGGTGCCTCTTCCAGAAAGCTCTGTCTTCTCTGGTACATCTTCCTAAAGCTGTCCTCCTGAGCAACTGTTGCATCAAAGCTGGCTTGGTTTGGTTTTCCTGAAGGTTCTACTTGGTAGAAGCAGACATCAGTTCAGGGAACTGTAGGGATTTGCATTACACAGGGGCTAAGCTAGATCATTTGATATGGGAGAGGGGTAGAAGTGGGGACTCTCAGCATGCACCGCTGCTTCCGTCCAGCTGCAGGGACTTCTGTTGCTCTCACTGATACCCTAATTCTTGCAGGATTGTGCCCTTAAGCTGTGACCTCTGCATCTAATGGAGGAGCAGTTTGTGCTAAGGGGAGGGAAAGGAGGAAGAGGCTGCAGAAGCCTCAGGGAGCAGAGGATGCTGGACTATGCCCTGCCAGCCACAGGAGGATTGCCAGTTTGTTGAGTGCCTTGGCAGCTTTTTAACCCTGCTAAGTGTATGGTGCAGACCTCCAACATGCCTGAGAACCCATTCCCCTTCCTGCCTCCTGGTCCCTCCTTGCAGACCACCGGACTCCACATCGCAGCCCACTGCTTCATGGAGATGCTTAGGAAACAAATGAGGATGTGCCTCCCAGCAGGTCAGAGTTATCCAGCAGCAGTGGTTTCGAAGCAGGTTTCAGCCGTTTCCATCTTCCTTGTTTTGCCGGCCCCATTCCTCTGTCACTGGTGACAGGGTGGACTGACCAGTGTGGGGCAGAGCCCACCCAGAGTGGTGGGATCTCCTTATGGACCTAGATTCCTCCAGGAACCAAGCAAAATCAATAAACTGGAAAGAAATTGAATGTTTTTCACTAATTTCTTTCAGTAAATTAGTGCCTGTCAGTGCGGGCTACACATTGAAGTGCCTGAAGTTACAGATCTTTTCTGGAAGATTTTCAGCTATCTTGTATTTAAAGATTTGTGAATAAAATAGTGACCCAGGTCAGGGCCGTGACTTTGGGATTGAAATGGATATTTGCTCTCTGTGATCTCGCAGCTGCCTGGTCTTTAAGGTAATGTTTGCTCCAGGCCTTTTTTCCCAAGCAAGCACCAAGGAGAATAACTGAAACTCTAAATCTTCTTCCAGGCTCTAAATCACTCCCACAAGCATTTTTTTTCAAGAGACAGTGAAGATGGAAGTGACTGCCACGCTTGAGGGATCCCCCTGGTCCTAGGTCATTTCAAATCAGAGCAGTTTTCCATTATGTTTTCCCTATCAATCCTCTTGTCAGTTGTTGTCACTGGTATTGCCCCAGGCATCACTCGCCTCTTGCACATCCGTGTTCAGCTGCACTGGTTGTGTGGGAGAGGCTGCGGGGTGTTGCCCAGATTTGCGTTACCCTTCAGACGACTGCTGCCATCCTGTCCCCCTCGAGAGAGCCGCCAGCTGAGTGCAAGTGTTCGTGTAGTATGAGAAGGTGAAGGAAGGGAGGCTGTGGTCTGAAGTCCAGTATTGGTAAGGAGGTACCCATTTATTTGGCACTCTGTTTGGCACTTGTGAGGCCACAGCTGGATACTGGGACCAGTTTGGGACTTTCCAGTACAAGAAAGGCATAGACACCCTGGAGTGACTCCATCAGGGGCCAGCAGGGTAGTCAGGGGGACACAGGATGGCAGTCAAGCACTGGGACAAGGACCTGCAGAAGCAGTAGGATCTTCATCCTTAGAGCTACTCTGACTTTGACCAAACAAGAGGTTGGAGCAGAGACCCCCAGAGGTCCCTTCCCACCCCAGCTATCCAAGGGGGCTTGCTGCAGACTGCCAGAGGGGAGCAAGACTCCAAATCTTTGAACATTTCCCAGTGTTTTGCAGTATCAGGTCTGACAGGGAATCCTGCTGTACATGACAAAGAAACATGGCCCTTCCGTAAGCTGTGCTCTTCATATCATGGTGTGCTTCCCTGCATCCTCCTACTGCATTTAAGAGTAACTGAAATCTTGGTTTTTAGAAACTGCCACCAGCAAACAGAGAATGTTTTTGGGTGGCACTGCCAGTTCCTGGCATGAATTAGGAAATTATTGTTTTCCTTCGGAAAATGGAAGTGTCGGATTCAAAACAGACTTAGGTGAATGCATGGTTTTTTCATAACTAAAAGAAACCACAGGAATCAGTACCACCCTAGAACCTGTTTCTGTGATGCAGGGCAAGGAAACGGCTTTCTTTCTCTTGCCTATTGCACAGGTCCTTTTCACCAAGCAGATGTTTCTCCTTCATTAATTGAGAAATTTATCTGACCTCTTTGTTTCGCTTCTTTAGGCCATGAACCTGGGCTTGTGCAGCTGGTGAATTACTACAGGGGAGCAGACAAGCTGTGCCGCAAAGCATCTCTGGTGAAGTAAGAAATTCACTGAAATGTTACATGAGATTGGCAGAAATTTTTCTTCTAACCATTGTCAAGTGTTGGACCCGTTCGGAGGGTATTTCATAGAACAGCTGCCCTGGGAGTGTCCTAGCATGTGCTGTCTTCAGGCTCATGTGCTGCTCTCTAGAGCTATCTGTGTGCACAAAGACGGCTTTGTAACTTCAGGGGAAATGCCATTTCCACTGAGTTACATCTGCTTGAAACCATAGACTGTATTGAATCACATTAGAGCCAAATCAAAAGAAAAAAACCCCAAGAAACTATCTGCTCTTTTTCCTTGTAGGCATTTAATTAAAACCTACTCCTTTTATTCACTGTTTCATACAGAGATGAGACACTAATATGACTTCAGCTAATCAGATTTGTTGGTCAAACAAATGCTTGGAGACATCTCCAGGAAGAGCTCTGGGAGTTGTTTCTGCATGATCAGCTGTGCCGTGGTCTCCTGGGGAAATGTGGATGAGCTTTCGTTGTAGATAACCCTTGTCCCTGTGCAAACTCTGTGGCCATTAGGGCTTCTTCATATCAGAGCTCTTGGTCTCCTTCAAGCGTTTGATTCCATGTTAGTGTCTGTGCTGCCTCTTGCTGATGCAGTCCTGCAGACTGTGTGTGCTGCTCTGAGGGCTCTCCTTTCCCTGCAAAGAACCTGGTGCCAATTGCTTTGTATACAGGAATGAGCAGAGTATTTTTTTAAAGGCACTCACGGCACTCCCCAGCTGGATTTCTGTGTGGCCGATGGTCTGGAGGTAGTGCCGAAAGTGCTTGCACACCTGTTTTTCTCACCTGACGCTTGGCTGACCTTTCAAACCGTGGGGTCAACCATGCATCAAGCTACTTATGAACCCAAGGGACCACAAGTGACATTCCTCAGGGTTCCCAGGGTGTCACTGACTGACTGCCATTTCAACAGAGAGGCACAAATGCACAGAGGGAGTCAGCAAGTTGCGAGCTCTGCTTTTGGCCTTAAGCAGAGTACAGAGCGAGCGTTCAGTGAGGCAGGCAGCTCCCATGACTCTGAAAGAAAACAGGCCTGGGCTCTGCTAACGGGAGTTTGCTGGCATTTCTAGACTTTAGTGCTGAGAGAGGTGTGCCAGAGAGATTGGAGACTGCATGATGCAAGGGGGATCCCAGACACCCTGGGACATGAAACGTGTAGCTGTGTCCCTGCTTTCAGTGTGTTCCCAGTGGTCTTCATCCTCAATGGGGACGCGTGATCAGATCTCAGTGGGGATGGAATCAAGAGCTAAGCCCCAGCACACAGAACATTACTGCTCTGGCTTCCCTTTTGCCTGTTGTGATCACAGCATCCTTCCTGCCCTATTCTGTGTTAGCAAACACACCTCCTCAGTTCTCTTGTGCAGAGATGAGGCAGGGAATGCATCACAAGCTCTAGTTACATGGGAACTTCTCTACTCATTTTTTCATGATATCCATAGTACCTACAAAATGTTTAATGAAAGCGTGCAGGTCTGGTTCAAAGAGCAGTGCTTGGCCGCAGGTTGGGGTTGCCATGATATCTTTAGGAAAACCCTAATGTCAAGGGTCTAAGGAAAATACAATTTAGCACAGACTGTCTGTAAGCCGCTATTCATCACCAAGTGAAAGAGCCCAGTTAATGATTATTTTTACTTATTAGATCATGCCCATGCAGGTAGGGACACTCTGGAGATTAACAGCCTGTCTCTCTTCACTCAGGCTAATCAAGACAAGCCCTGAACTATCGGAGTCCTGCACGTGGTTCCCTGAGTCATATGTGATTTACCCAACAAACTTGAAGACCCCCGTGGCTCCAGCACAGAATGGAATTCGCCATCTCATAAACAACACGCGGACAGATGAGCGGGAAGTCTTCTTGGCAGCTTACAACAAGCGTCGGGAAGGCAAAGAAGGCAACGTGTGGATCGCCAAGTCCTCAGCTGGTGCCAAAGGTTCATTCTCCAGCAAAATGAGTCCCCTTCTTGTTATTCCTTACTCTTTACTTGATTGGTAGAGTCCCAGGGTTTGGCTGAGACCAGCTAATGTCTAGCCTGTCTATGAAGGGATTCATCTACCAGCTCCATGCCAGTCAAGCCATCATAGGGCTCTCCTTTGACTGCTCGGTGGCATGGAGCTCCTGACAAGCATTGTAACATGTGCATGCTACCTAGGACATGGATGGCAGTGAAAGGACCTCCACTTTTCTACACGTGTGCCTTAAAATAAGGTTTGCTGCAGGGAGAAGGCAGTAGGGACCAGCAGGCAAGGGGAATGTGGAGAGCTGGAGATAACGGAGTGGAACAGGGTATGGGGAGGAGGGCAGCAGGCAGGGCACCAGCATTCAAGGGCAAGGAGCCCAGCTCCATGCTGCAGCTAAGCCAGGTTTCACTTGGGCTGAAGTACTGCTGCTTGTCTTTCACCCAGATCCAGATGCTTGGTGCCAATGGCCTACCTGTGGTCACACTGAGAGACTGGCTAAGCAGCTGCTAGCTCAGTGCATTGAAATTACACCCAGGCCTCAGGGGAAGGTACCAGACCAAAGACAAGCGATGCAGTGTTTGTATGTCTCTTCAATTTGAATAAGTAAATGGATACATAAGTGATAATATGTCCTTCTTTGTCACCTTCCTTTGTCACCTTTGTCCTTCACCCAGTGAAAGAAAGGGTCATTGCATAGCTTGCTCTACAGAAATAATGAGCTATTAGACAAGATAGCTGGACACAGCTATAGATGGAATGCTTTGGTTACTATTTGCTGTCTGTCAGTTACAGCAGTGTCACCGGCACGTTATCAGAATGGCTTTGTGAAAACTCGCCTTGCCATGCGCACAGCCCGAAGCAGGACCTGGCCTTTTCAAAGGGAACAAGCCCACACATATTACTCATATTTGCAGAGTCACTTTTGATGCAGTCATGCAAAAATCACCAGAGACTTTGAAAGCCAGAGGTGGCAGCAGGGAGGCTGTATGGTAAAACTGTCCGTCATGCTGGCTTCCTTCACTGCTCTACTCTCTTGGCTGTGTTACCAAGAAACATCAGAAGAGTATGCTTATTTTCATCAGGGAGGAAGGGGAGATGAGTCCCTTCATTATGCCAGTGAAAGAATGTGTTTCTGTGTGGTATAACTAACTGTCTGGCAAAGAATCAATCTGGGCAATTGAAAAGGCCATTGCTGTGGTTCGCCACTTTATTCAAGTGTGATCCCATCTTTTCTGCATTAAAGCAGAGTAACCTTTCATATTCATCAGTGTGCTGCAGAACTCAATCTGGGAATTAAAGTGGAAAGTAGAGCCTCATGTTAATCTTCCAGAGGGAAGTTTTAAACGTCTGGGGATTAATTCTGATGAAGAAGAAAGCTTGTTGACATTAATTAGCAAGGCAGATCCAGCTCAGGTACAGCAGCTGACTCGGACAGGTCTAATGGAAGCTTCGTTGGTCCATCAGTAAAAGGAAAATTAAAGGTTTAGGATGTCCTGACTTAAAAGTTGAGATATTTTTCAACTGTGGCTAGAGGTTTTGATGTTTTCTTTGAGAAGGCACAGCTGTCCCACATAAGCTGCTTTGCTGCCTCACTGGGTCGCTGACAGGGTGCACAGTTAAGCTAACCTCCCCCTTGATTCACCATCTGTCCAGTGCAGAACGGGTGCCTACTGATCTTCCCACTGCAGAGGCTTTACTGGTTTACAGAGATGTTGTTTCCCTCCTTCACCCTGTGCACAGCCTGTGGTCATACCAATGCAAGTTTCTGCCTGGCTTTGCTGTGATCAGGGGACTAAAAATCTTGCTCCTCACTCCCTCCACCGAAATTGTGAGTGAGAAAGATGCTTTGATGAAAGGACTTCCTTTCGGTGGGGGATGCTAGGACAGCTAGGGAGTTAGCAGGGCTGGGAAGCTGTGACTCACAGGTATGCAAAGCATGGAGCAGTGGAAGTACCTGCAGGGCTGTGTGGACGGTGACCTTCAAAAGTCGCAGCTCGGAGAATTTTCCAAGGGATGATCCTATCAAATCCCACCTATGCTCTAAACCTGTGTTCTTCCCCTGATGCCCCTTTGAAGAGTGTTTGTTTCTTTTCACTCAGCATTTCCTCAAAAAAAAACAACTTAGTATGAAATTAAGACTTAAGTCATCAGTTTTAGTCCAAAAAGTTAACTAAACGCCTGAAGACTAGACATAGTGCCAGAGAAATGTTAGTTAATTTTACCTGAGCTAGTTTATCCCTCTTGTGGCACTGTGCCATCCCTTTAACAAATCCCGGAAGGGATACGTTCTCTCTTCATTGCTCTGCAACAGTGGTTTCATATCTGGACTCTTGCAAGAAATGAACAGTGACAGCTTCAGCCAAAATGTGGCAGTATTTAAATAGCACATCTAACTTCTTTAACGAAGAGCTTCCGCAGCAGGGGAAAACACTGACTACATGGATGAACATTTTGAAATAGTTCTTTTCCTAATTCAGCGATTATTTTAGTAGTAATTTAAATGAACTTGGTGAGCAGGGCAACGCTGTGCAAGTTTGCATGGCTGCCTCTGGCAGCCAGAGAAGCCAGGCAGGGGGAGAAAATCTGAGTCTAGGATAAAAACCCACAAACCTCCCTCCCCAGTTTAAAAAAAAAAAAAAAAAAAAGAAAAATACCACAAACTGCCAAAACCACTGTTCTCCAAACTGCTGAAAAACAGGGAGAAACAAAACAAAGTTCAACAAATGCTGAACATGTGCGCTACCCCCTCAACCTGCCAGGAAGGCCCAGCTGGAAAAAAACACTGGAAAAGGAAACAAAATCCCCCAAACCAAGGATCTACTTCACTACTTGCCAAGGCCCACATCTGCTGTACGTCCCCTCGCACCTAAATAGGCACCCCGTTGCAGACAAGTCCCAGGCAGGCCATGCCATCTCAGGTACCCTTGGTTCCCATTTGCGTTGGCTCCAGTTACTGGGGAGCCAGATGCAGGTTGGTGGCAGGGACACCCCTCTGCAGAGTCACTGCCTGACACTGAGTAATGTGACGTCCTTGGGCACCAACAGCCCCAAGGCCATGGGTTCTTGCATGGCTTTTTGGGCCAATGAGCCGTGGTCCACTTGGGCCCTGGAAAAGCTCCAGCAAAGGTAGGAGGATCCTCTACCTAATTTTGTCTTTTTCTATGCCAGGGGAAGGGATCCTGATTTCTTCAGAGGCTGCAGAGCTCCTGGACTTCATCGACGAGCAGGGACAAGTTCACGTGATTCAGAAATACCTGGAGAAGCCTCTGCTTTTAGAGCCAGGGCATCGCAAGTTTGACATCAGGTAACCTTTTCTGCTTTTGTAATAATACCAGTTTTCGTGCTGTTTCTTTTTAAGCCACTGAGACTAGAGCTTGTTCTCTCCCCCACCCAGGAGCTGGGTTCTCGTGGATCATCAGTATAATATCTACCTCTACAGAGAGGGTGTCCTGCGGACCTCTTCCGAACCGTATAACAGTGCTAATTTCCAGGACAAAACCTGCCACTTGACCAATCACTGCATTCAGAAGGAATATTCCAAAAACTACGGGCGGTATGAGGAAGGGAATGAAATGTTCTTCGAGGAGTTCAACCAGTATCTGATGGATGCCCTGAACACAACGCTTGAGAATAGCATCTTACTGCAAATCAAACACATAATAAGGTAGCCAGCTCCCTGTTGCATAGGGGAACATAACCCTTCAGCGATAGGGAATGTGTATGGACACAGCTGGGGAAGCAGACAGACTGACAAGGGAAGGGTTTCAGTTGCATGAGTTTGAGATAAAGCCGTAAAAACCCCAGTGTCATTGCTTAATGAAAAGGGACTTCTCTAGGTGCTGTTCTCGCCAGGGTATGTGTCGGCGTGCCTGCATTTTGCCAGCTGTGGCTGGAGAAGGAAGGAGTGAGATCACTTGGTCAGGGAGGAGGGTAGGTCAAAAGACAGAGCTGGGAGCAGTTGAGGTTAAAAAAGGTGTAAGGTGTAAGAGAGGAAATTAAACCAAACTCAAGTCTGCAAGATCTCACTGCTTCCCCCACCGTCAGCAAGCAACAGCACATCTCATTGGCATAGGTCGTCTTGCTCAGTCCGCACAGAGCCAGCTACCTCCTGGGCACAGAAGGTGCCTGGAGAGAGATCTCTGAGGTCACGGTGCCACAGAGAATCCAGGTCTTGCCGAAGTGATCCTTCATGGTGGAATTTACTTTGCAAGTGCCTCATTGCTGTTACTTAGACCACAGAGACATGACACGGTCTTTGAGGGACTTGGAGGCAAATGAGCTCTCAGTGGCAGTTCGTTGGGAACCTGGTGCAGCCTTCTGTGGCTCTGCCTTCTGCTCCAGGCTCTGTGCAGTTGCACATCATGTTTTTCAGCTTATTAATGTCTAATCTGTTAGTGAGGGTAGATGCTGCTCTCCAGCTCTTTGGGAGTTAACCTGGGGGTGTCCCCGTCTGTGTTCTGATGGTTGCACGGTCTCACTTGCAGGGACCTAGTTACCATGACATGTGTTGGATATAGCTTGTAATTTGGGGCAGTCCCAGGGCAACAGGGGACCCCTCTACTTCACTATGCTATGCACATGCCCTCAGAAGCCGCAGCGTGACGGATGTATCTGCAGGGCTTTTAATCTTGGGTTCCTGTTTTTCCCTTCACAGAAGCTGCCTTATGTGTATAGAGCCTGCAATCAGCACGAAGCATCTTCACTACCAGAGCTTCCAGCTCTTTGGCTTTGACTTCATGGTGGATGAGGAGCTGAAGGTCTGGCTGATAGAAGTCAATGGGGCCCCGGCGTGTGCCCAGTGAGTAATCAGTTCCTGTAATACCCTTGTGGTGCCATCATTCATATGCCACACCCAAAACATGGCTGTGTCCCCACTCCAAGTGAAAAAGGTGTAAGAAGGTGAATGGCATGGGAGTTTTCTAGGCTAACCCATACCGAACACTGCTCTAAGTGCCAGTTGATTTAACTTTGTTGCTCCTGTCGGTTTGGTATCCCCCAGCTTCTTTCCCATGGGAAATGGGGCACTCAGCTCAGTTTTTTGACAAATGGGTTTGAATATAACTTGAGTCATTTTTATTGACCCTATTGGGTTGAAGTTATGTTGCAAAATTAACACTTTGAGGGGTAAGGACATTTCTCAGTCTCTCTTGTGGAGCCACTGGTGGCTGGTCTTTACCTGAACGCGTGATAAATGGGTAGCATTAAGGGCAGCAGCTGGAAGTAAGTGTTGGAATTCACAGGCAGCAGGACCCCGGAGCACACTGTGGATGCTGCAGACATTGGCTCAAAGCCTCCACCAGCCACAGCAAGGCTGGGACAGCCAAACAGCCATGGCCGTGAACATCTCTGCATAGGCACAGCAGGCAGTGCCGTCTTACATGATTGAGACAACTGCGGGAGACTAGAAATCTTTGCTAAATGGGCATCTGTGTCTTATGCAAGGCCTGAAAAACAGAATTTGATTAGATTAGTTGTAGACTAAATTATATTAGATCATCTCTAAAAGTAAACAAAAAATACAGGCCAAACCTACCGGATAGCCTGTTCGGCAGCCTTTTCAGAGCTAGGGCTTGGGGAGCTTTCTGTGGCCAGGATGCCCTGTTCGCCATGTGCACAGCGGCGCAATACTGCCTTGCACCTGCGTGTGTCGCTGTATGGGTAGGATTTGGCTGTTGCTGGGTGGATTTGGGTTGCAGCAGTGCCCTGTTTGTTTTGGGCCTCTATGGGTACTTAGAAGTCATCGAAAGCAGCTGTGGCTTCTTCTCTTCAGGTTTATTCTAATTGATAGCACCCATAGCACACAGTTCCCATTTAAGAGACAAAAATTGGCTGCTGAAAGCAGTAGCATTCCCAGGAGCTGAAAAAGTGTCTTACTGTCATGTAGCCCCAAAGGCACAGGGTGAAAGACATTGTTAATCCTAGTGAAGACAGCTTTGGTACTAAAAATGTCCCAGATGCCAGCATGTTCAGGGAGGCTACGCGTGTATTTCCTTCAGCAGAATGTGAAGCTATTGTTAACTCATTTCTCAAACACCTTGTCTCTCTTCTCCCTAATCCTGCTCCTCATGAGCTGTGCCATGGTGAAACACATCCCATACTTCCATGGGGTCCTGTGAAGTCTCTATGCAGAGTCACAAGCTGATGTGCACAGCTGCACCCCACTGCAGCATTCCATCAAACCATGAATGCATCAGAGCAGTCCCTCTGGGGCACATCCCCACATGAATGGGGTCTGCTGCAATAATCACAAGTCCCTGAGCTGGAAGGCCGGTGCAGGGAGTGCTCAGCTGTTGTCTGCCCCTGTGCATCCTGCGGTGACACAAGTCTGGAGCCAGAGGGTGTGGAGACTCTGCTCAGGAGCCTGTTCTGACAGTAAACTTAGATAATGGGTTTTGTGGTCCTGTCTGGCAGCGAGCTGTATTGGGAATGGGAGCACCATTGAAAAAGACAACGGATAGATGGGGTAGACTTGCTGGGGTAGATGGGGAGGCGATGGACAAGATGCCACCCTCCTCCTGTTTGCCACCCTGGAGCTACCTGTAATGGGAGCAGGATCTTGTAGATCCTGCCAGGAAGATGCATGTCTACGTAAAAATTCATCAGGGGCCTGCTGGCTTGTCCTGCCTGAGCATCTGATTCTCTCTCTCTCTCGCCTCTTAGGAAGCTGTATGCAGAGCTCTGCCAAGGAATTGTGGATGTAGCCATCTCTAGCGTTTTCCCCCTCAACGACACTGGGCAGAAGACGAGCCAGTCATCATCGATCTTTATCAAGCTGTGATGACGACAGGAATGCTTCTACTGTGCACAGGGAGAGACTGCACCCATCGGGTCAGCACAGTTTGGTGGCTTATCTCAGTATCATGCCAAAAAGTGATAGAGACAGGCTTCTTATTTCCTGGAAAATCATGAGGAAAAACAACAAAACAGGCATCCACACAGAGCTGCAATGAGCCAGAGCTGCTCAGACAACTCCGCCTGTGTTCACCAAAATCCACTTTAGAAACAGCCGTGTGACTTTGATATCTAAAACAAATCTCTCTGGGAGAACAACAAAATAACCTTAAAATGAAACCCGAACAGGGATACTATAATACTGTATTAGCTCCTCCTTTTCTATAGAGATAACAATGGGTTTTTTAAGGGAATTGAGCGAAGAGTACGATGATCTTCCAGGTTGTCGTGGCTGGGAAGTTGTCCTCCTCCCGCTGTGTTTCTTCTTCCCTCACCTACTGCATCATTAGTGCCTTAGCTCAGCTCCAAATAGGTGACTCCTTTCCTTTGTTCTTGCTCTGTTACGTAGAAAGGAGCAATCTCTCCTGCATCGCAGGATGCCTAAAACCAGGAACACCAAGAATTCAGTTTCCTTAGGTTAATTTCCAAGCTGGTTGGCTGAATACCCGGGCAACGGCTGGCAAAAGGGTGCTGAACTGCAGGCGGTGAATTAACCCAAGCAAGGAAGGCAATTCTGTGTATTTATAGCTATCCCTTTTCCTAATGAGATTTGAATCAGTGTCCATCCCAGTCTGATGCAGTTCGATTCTGTCTAAAAGAGGTAGAGAGATCCCCTCAGGGCTCACCGGCACGCTGTAGGATTTCTAGCGTCACTTTTGTGCTAAGAGTGTTTCAAATAGCAGAAACCCAGTCTCAGTTTCTTCTGAGGCAGTGCAGTGAATTTAGGCTCTTCTCTCAGCTTTCAAGTTCATGCATTTTGAGACCTGAATCTGAAACCTTTCAACTCAAATTATTTTTATCCCATTTGATACAGCCAATTTTATTCTTCTCCATTTGACAAATATTGCAATTTTCTGCCCTGAACACAGTCCACAGCTCGGTCCCAGCTAGGGGGAAGGTGGGTGAGGTTTTGTAGACCAGGAGAGAGATTCCTTGTGTATAGGTTTGCCATGCAGCTGGGAAGGCAAGTGTTTTGGAGGGGAGGGGAGGGGAAGTTAAATTCCTTGAGGTCCCTGAATTTCAGAGCTAAATGTACTTTGAGTATAACCGAAATCCCTGGCATATTGCCCACCATGTGAAGTGTATCTGAATTTTCAGCATGAGCCCAGCACATCCCTCCTAAGCTAGAGCTCTTTGCAGAGCACAGTGGCACTTGTAACAACAGCGGGCTTTGTGGGGGGTGTTCAGGGCTGTGTTCTGCTGCCTCTGACAAGGAAAGAAGGATGGCACCAAAATAAACTGGTTCCTCTTACCCAAAACAAACAAACAAGAAGAGATTGTGGAGGTTACAAGCTTCTGGCTGCCTGTGTGTAATGGGAAGTGAATCAAGCAATGGGATTTCTGCCTCCCTCAGAAGATTGTAGCACTTTGGCATACTCATCTCTCCTCATGACGGAGATTTCACAGGTCTTTGTGCCAGCAGACAATCCTGGCATCTTTCTGTAGGCAGGACTGAAGTGCCCAGGCCTCCTTGGAGTGATGCATTTTGATCATGCTGTCATGGGATGGAAATTTGTTGCAACCTGCTGTGAATCCACAAGTGTCACCATTTCACAGAGGGCCGCTGAAATCTGGGAGGGAACGGAGTGCTTAGCAAAACCCTGCAGAAGCATCACAGAGAGGACACATCCCAGAGAGCCACACAAGCACCTCTGAAGTTGTCAACACCCTGAAGCACGGTGTGGATCCGCATGTGCAGGGGGTGTGGCGGACGCAGGGTGCCCTGGTGCACACTGAGAAGTGGCGGGGAGCAGGAGCTGTGTGAAAACAGGGCTGCAGCTTTGTTCCCCAGCGCTGCAGGTGCTGGCGGGTGGCTTCACTTCCAGCAAGACCCCAAGCACCACGTCTGGTCTCTGGATTTGTGCCTCGTCGAGGTTCAGAAGAGGGGCTATGAACGGGTTAGTTCATGAGATGGGAAGCACTAGGTGATAAGCTGCGAGAGGGGTGTGGGGGAAGGACTGGTGGGTTTTTTTAACCTTACGATAGCACATAGGTGTCAGAATTTCACTGCAGGCCAGTTAAAGCATAGTGGTAACGCTCCAAGGTAAAGCGTAGGCTGTAACAGTTGTTACCGAACTTGTGAAGTTCACCACATCTCCATTGGCATTTTCACATTAGGTCATGTGAGCTTAAAAATTACGCCTTTTTGCTCAGCAAAAGGAAGATCTAACAGCAATCACTCTGTTCCAGGATGTGCCTGAGGTGGCAGAGGAGACACGGGGCTCTCGCAAGCTTTAGGGCAGACGAGCAGAGCATGAAGTGAGAAGGGAAAATTTTTCCCATCGTATTGAAATGAGAAATGCTCATTTCCTGGTGCGCTAGACCCATTCTTCTTTTCCCCTCAAAAGGGAAATTAGAAAACCAAACTACTCCCTTACTGCACAGTAATGTGAGATTCCTGCCGACGATGTGGGATAAGGGCAAGAAGGCTGCCTGGGTGCAGGCAAAAGCAAGGGCCCCCATGGGAGCAGCTGGTACCATTGGGAGGAGCAGTGACTCAGGAGCCTCTGCCTAACTCCAAGGCCTTTTCTTCCCCTTTTTTTCACCCTGGATTGCATTGTGGCACATCAGCAGCTGGCTGGTTTTGCTGCTCAGCTGAAAGTAGGGCTTCAACCTGGTGGTAGAGCCATGACCACAAGCAATGCAGCTATTCATACCCTGGCTTTTCAGCTGGGCTTGGGGGAGATGGTGATTCATGGATGCTTTAATGGTTGGCTTGTTTGCTGAATTTTTCAGAAATAAGCAACGGCCTCCGGAAGAAAACAGCAGGTATCGCATGTATTTACCACCTGCTCTGAAATTGCTCCCCAAAGTAAAGCACAGGAGGTAAATTATAAAGGACAGAGAGCATAGTGCCTAAGGTCTTCCCCAAAATATTAGCTACAAGGTGGAGTAGAGGATGTGTGTATAGCTGAGGCCTGAGCATTGCAGCCATAGGTACACCTTGCAAGTGGTGCTCACAAGCCCTTGTGAGATTTTTGTTTGTTTCTTTTTTTAGGAATACACAACAATAAATGTTTTCTAACTTATTT